ATGTCTTCAACTCGTATTGGCCATGTTTCAGAGCCATAGACGATGTCCAATGGTTCATGAGGAGTTATTTTGAACGACCATGGAATCCAAAACATGCACATTTCATCTCATTTGGGACTCATCAACAGCATCAGGATTCACCTGCAATCCCCAGTGAGTGTATTATGGTGTTCCCAATGAGATTCGAACTCAGTACCCATTGTTTCAGACGTCAACGCGTTATCCAATAAGTCATTTTGGGGCCACAAAGAAGCGCCACTTATGAACTGGTTATCAGTTATACTATTTACTTATTATTGATAACACATTGTACGGAAATATTCAGTGTGAAATGTGTATCCTTGATTCCACTGCTAGTCACCGTCTATGGTTTATGTGAATACTGACAACAGACTGTTTCTGTTTTCCTACTTAATCATTAGTATCATACGACAGATAGTAATAATAATAATAATAGCTCTATTCTGAACAGTGTTCACATAATGTACAGAAAATTTCAGCGGAATTTATTGCATAATAGTTTCTCTTTGTCGACAGCAAATCACGTGACACACTGCTGTCTGACCTGAAGTAAAAATCAATTTGCTTATGATATTTCTTCTTTGCTTCCTTCGAGAAATGTCTAACATTTGGTTAGAAGCCAGCTTAAAAAGGTGCAGGAGTACATTTTTTACTCAAGCACATGATAAAAACTAAATAAATGAAAACTGCAGGTAATTAGTCTTATTCGTCAAGCAGTGACAGTTTGTACTAAAAACTCTCATCAACAGTTATCACATATATATGTTGGGACACGTTGACACTAAGGATTATGCATTTTCAAGTGTTGGTTTGTAGGGATTTGATTGGTTACAGGATTTCATCATGAGCTGACATTAGTTAGAGAACCATTGGAAAACCTGGGAGTACTGGACAGCTGTTTCGTCCTGGTTTGGGACTCTTCATCAGTACGCACCCACTGGGATTCGAACCCAGGACCTTCTGGGTTTGAGTGAAAACTTGAGAATCAAACGATTATAGACATTTTAAATACTCGCGAGAGTAGAAAACACCATTAGAGGTCATATTTTAATAGATTAAAACAAAGTGCTTTTTAATTCATGAAGAATTCCCATTGTAACATATAGAAAATAAAAACAAGTGATTCACCGAAGAGACTCTTTTCAACGAATTTATTATCAAGCTGTACAATCGTATATATATATATATATATATATATATGGTTTTTAAGACACCAGTAAATTCTCGAAACCGAACGAGATAAACAAGACGGAATAAATCGAAAAGCAACTTACCAAAGCTTTAAAGAGAATGAAGAACAATCATCTCAATTGTGAAGAACTTTACGAAAAGATTAGACCAACAGGATCTCTAATAGCAAGACTTTATGGTCTACCAACATCTGGTAGATACTAATCACCCTACCCTCTAGAGCTTCCACCTTTAAAGTCATCTACAAGGCGAAAAGTAATTTGCCCAAATCATTACTTATCCGACTCATCTGTACTGCTGAAGCTGTGGCCAACGAAACAGAGAAGTCAGATCTCTGTATTCAGAGAAAGTTCGTTCAACCCCTCCAACTTTCATGGTCTTAATCCCTCTATGCTACAGTATGGTAATCCCTAATCATATTTTGGCTCTACTTACTTTTCGTTTTGTTTATTCTATTTGTATACTCTTCCTTTATTACGTCAACTGTTACTATCACTATTCTCACCTTGAACTGTCCCCGGTATTATTTCACTTGTTCCACTTATCATTCTTTATCAATTTGGTTTAGCAACGTTAAATTCTATGTTACCGAAATTTACACAATGTTACGTAACTTAGTTGGTGGATAGCGACTAGCAGTGGAATCCAGGATGTGCGTTTCGTCATATTTGGGACTCGTCGTCTGGATGTACCTGCATCCCCCAGTGAGTAATGATGTTCCCACTGAGGCTCGAACCCAGTGCCCATAGTTTCAAACGTCAAAGCTTTATCCACTAGATCACTTGGGCCACCAGAGACACCCGTTGTGCAACGGGTCATATTAGTTTAATTGAATTTTAGATTTTTCCCGTCGATTGATTGGACCGAAAATCTAAGTTGAATGAAGTAATTAATATGCCCCATTGCAAAAGAGGTGGCTCTCGTGGCCCAAGTGGTCTAGTGGATAACGCTTTGGCGTTAGAATCTATGGACATTGGGTTCGAACCTCGGTGGGAACATCATCACTCACTGCCGAATGCAGGCACATCCAGATGACGAGTTCCACATAGGAAGAAATGCGCATCCTGGATTCCACTGCTAGTCACTATCAACCAATTAAATTCTAATTACATGCCCAGACATCGTCGAAGCATCTGCACAAGAAGCCGACATGTCAACCTAAGACCGAGCACTTCGGTCCAATCAATCGACGGGAAAATCTTAAGTTCAATTAGATGTTGCGTAACATTTTTGTTTTATTCTATTCGCCTACTAATCCTTTTCATACTAGTATTATTATTTTATGTATTCACACCTCTAATTCATTTCCCTCATCGGATATAATTTCTTAAAAACCATATATATAATATACTGTTGTACAGTTTGATAATAAATTCGTTGAAAAGAGTCTCTTCGCTGAATCACTTATATATAGAAAATCAAATTGCTTTATATAAAACAAACTGAACAAGAAAAATTATATGCAATATAATGATGGAGTATCTTGGTTGAAGAATTGATGTATAAGGATAAAACTTGGGCACTGTGGTGGTAGAGTATAACACCATTATGGATAGAATTTTATTTTGATAAAATCACACAGTGTGTTTGTTATACAGTAGTAATATTTACTGATGACCACGTTTCGAGCACAAATTATTGCTGCTCATTATCGTATCAAAGTACTCACACAACTCTCTTGCTTCGTTTATATACATGAGTAAAAATTGATTAGACATTTGAATAAAAAACCAACATAAGATAAAGTACATTCGGAAATAATTTTAGTGTTATTAATAAAATACAATCAGATGGGGGATACGATGTTTTTATAGTAAAAATAAGTAACTTGTTAGAATGTGAATTGAATACATTTTAACATTATTTATTATCCTCTGATTTGACTGGTAGTAATAATATCTTCCAAATCTCTGGTATTTGCGTTGAGTCACTTCTGTTGCATGTGTTGGGTGTAGACTACGATGAACCAGGACTCAGTAATCAATCTCTCTTTTCATCTACCTATATTACTTTTTAGAACTTTAACCCTCTCCCACCACCCTATTGTGTGGTTGTGTGTTAATGCATGCAGTGCAATTGCTGAGTTGTTTTTTCTAAATTACTTATCTTCGCGGTGTCAATCATTCTAAACTTAGCTAAATTTTTATGTTCTGATAATCTCACTACTCCTGATCTACTAGTTTAACCTATGTAGTTCACTTAACTCACAGTCATTGCAAGGTATTTTGTAAATTATATTATTTTGTTTAATTGAGTCCACTAGGTCTTTCAGCCTACAGAGCTTGTCCGAGCTGAGTGAGTTTTTAGGTTTGAATGCCACCCTTATTCCTGCTTTATTGAGAATCCTACGTAGGGTCTCAGATGTCTCTTCCTTATATGGTAAAACTACTGTAGATGCCTTATATTCTTTATTTATTTGAAGAATCTTAGACTCGGAAAAAAACTCCCTAGTTCTCATATTTGATATTAGTTCAAAATGAAATCTGACTGAAAATGTATTAAATCCCTAGAAATCAATATTTGGAAATTTAAAAGTACCAGCAACTTGATTACATGCACTCCAATATTGTCTGTGGAGTAGTTAGTTGGGAGAAAATTTTAAAAAATCCTCAGTCATGTACAACTCATACATTAACAGAAATCATTCTAGGACATTCATATATATATATATATGTATATATATATATATATATATATATATATATTATTTCCTTTAATTCCTAGATAAACATATGGCTTCAACCGAACGTTTTCATTGCGTTCGGTTCTCCACAAACGTTTTCACATGGCTCCACGTCTGCCCACATGCTTTCATCTCCTCCTCCATGTCACCCTCGCACTGACGACCAACTCGTCGCTTCCCATTCGGGTTCCACTCGAGCGATGGCCTGGCCTGTGATGTCACTTGATGGTTTGTTTTCTCAGAGTATGGCCAATCCAACTCTGTTTTTTCCTGCAGATTTGTTGCACAATTGATTCCTGATTGGCTGGCTCCCAGAGATCCCTGTTGTTGATCTTTTCTGGACGGCCATCTGATCTTGAGTAGAATTGAGCGAAGACAGCTGTTAATGAAGGTCTGTAGTTTGTTTGAGGTGCTCTTTATGACGCGCCAAGTCTCTGATCCGTATAGTAGCACTGACTTCACATTGGAGTTGAAAATCCGGATCTTATTTTTCCTGTTGAGTGCTGTTGACCTCCACACAGACTTGAGAGTAGTGAAAGCTTGCCTTGCTTTCCCAATCCTTGCTTTGATATCCTCATCAGTCCCACTCGCCTGTAGTTGAAACAATGCTTCCCAGGTAGGTAGGTAGGTAGGTGAAGGAGGTTGCTTCTTTCAGATTTCTCCCATTTATGCTGATTGTTGTCTGTTGTTGTTGCTGTTGGCCAGGAATCTTCATCACCTACCTCTGTTTTCTCTATGTTCACCTGAAGTCCTTCCAATCTTTGGTGCTTCTTCTATCGCCAACTTGTTGCTGTTCACTTGCATATCTTCCAGTTTGTGGAAAATCAGACATATGTCATCATCGGCGAAGTCCAGATCCTCCAAGTTTTTTGTGTGGGTCCATTTTATGCCTGTCTCCTCGCCACCCACTGTCTGTCACAATATCCAGTCTACCGCAATCAGGAAAATCATTGGAGATAGTAGGCAGCCAGCCTTGTCTTACTCCCATCTTCACTTCGAAGGATTCCGTGAGTTTCCCGTACATATATATATATATAATAATTCGGTTTTTAAAAAGGTTCAAATCATAGAAAAGCAAAAGAATGTAGAAGAAAAAAAAACTTACTCGTTGACGTTTCAACTTTCTTCTGGACATCCGATTCTGACAGATAATAGTCAAGCGTTCAGTTAAAAAGAAGATATATATACCTAGTAGAGCTATAAGGGCTTCTAAAATCATTTTCCTGTGTGGATTTATTTCTGTTAATGATACAGACTCATAATCATTATGATTATGACTATCATGCCCATGTTCATCATGATGATTGTGATGATGACCGTTAGAAGAAAACGCCTATGATGAAAGTAAAAACAAAACAGGAGAAAAAATTATATATTGGTATAAAGTTATGAAGAAGAAAAAAATTTATTGATAGCATTAAAGATTTTAATGTCTCAGACAAAGTCATGTTCTCTCATTAGATGTGACGTCGCTATTTACCAATGTTCCTCTCATGGAAACTGTTTGCTACTTATGTGATTATATTGATACACATAGTTTAGAAATAGGACTGCCGACCATCTACCTCAAAGAGCTTTTATTGAGATGCACGTTGAATGTTCAGTTCACCTTCAATAATGAGATCTTTAGACAGAGAGACGGCATTGCCATGGGATCACCACTGGGTCCCTTGCTGGCTGATTGTTTTATGGCTAAGCTTGAACATTCTCAACTTAGTCAAACCATCGGTCATTTTGACATTTATAAACGATACGTAGACGACACTTTCGTTATCTGCGATAAAAATGTAATTCTTGATGATGTCTTGTTTACTTTCAACAACTGCCATCCTTCTTTACAATTCACCGTAGAAAAGGAATCTGAACTAAGTATTCCCTTTCTCGATGTGTGCCTTAGCAGACGTAATGACGGATCTCTCAAAAGATCTATCCACCGGAAACGTACATGGAACGGACAACTAACTAATTTTTACAGTTGGGTGCCTATTTCCAGGAAAAGGAACTTAATTCATTCGCTCTGCTCTAGAATAAGGAAAATTTGTAGTTCTGATTCCGTTGACTCGGAACTTGACTTCTTAAAAGCCACGCTCGCAGAAAACGGTTACCCTAACCGATTTATTGACAGCAACATGAAAGATAAGCAGTCTAAACTGGTCACCGACACAGTTCCAAAGAAAACCTTATTCATGAACTTGGAATTCAAAGGTGATCAAGCTTCAGATATGCTCAAAAATCGTCTCTCTAAATCAGTCAGTAAGACGTTCTATGCAGCAAAATTACATATGACGTTCACTAGCCGCAAGTTGTTCTCTACCTCTGTAAAAGATAAGCTCCCACGTCTGGCCGCCTCCATGTGCATCTATCAGTTCACCTGCTCTTGTGGAGCTAGGTACATTGGCCGTAGTCAGAGGACACTTTCCACACGGATACGAGAACATATTCCAGCTTGGTTTTACAAGGGAGAAAGGAAGTGTGTGAGAAGCTCTATTTTGGAACACCTGATCGACTTCTGTCACTCTGTCAACCCTGACCATGATTTTAAGATCATATATAGAATCCATGCTAACTTGCCGCGTTTTCTTCGTTACAGACTTCTAAAGACAGCTGAGGCCTTGGCAATTCATGACTTTAAGCCAGACCTTTGTGTACAAAAGAAGTATGTACAATCCCTACTTCTGCCTTGGCCGTAGAGGGATAGACATTTATTTATTATTTTGTTTATTTAGTTATTCTATGTACTCTTCCCTTATTACTACGATTATTATTATTATCATTATTATTATTAATTCTCACTCTGAATCTTTTCCACTTGACCCACTTGACATTTTAAACCCAAAATTATTCATTTTTATATTTTTATTTTTACAATATTGAATTCTATCTTATCAAATTTCACACCATGTTATGTAACATTTTATATTCGTCTACTAATCTTATAATTATGTACCCCTTTTCAAAATCTATACACCTTATGTATTATTCTATATACGACATTAATTATTGTGCCACTTGACATTAAACTATGATTATAATCACAAACGTTTTGATAGCATTTCATACTATTATTATTTCATGTATTCACACCTTTGACCTAATTCCCTCACCGGATATAATTTTTATAAAAAAAACCATATATATACGATTGTACCGCTTGATAATAAATTCGTTGAAAAGAGTCTCTTCGCTGAATATTATTGTGTTCTTAATGCTACAATGGGAATTATTAAATTATTGAAAAAAAAGTGACAATATTGTTTTGATGTTGTTAGAAGTCAATTAATCAAAATAGAATTCTTATATTTCAGGCTTAAAGCCATACACCATATATTGTATGATGGCTGATGATGCTACTACTACTGCTATGGTGACGTGTGCTACTAACAAGATGTATCAGTAGTATATTAAGGGTATGTGTACTGCTCAGTTGTTCGCTCCTCCTCCTTTATGGTTGGCTGTAACACACGACCATTGAAATAGGGGAAAACATGAAAAGCCTGGCTAGCTAGCTGTCTTTGATTATAGATGTCTGCGTTCTACCTCCCGTGTTAGGTAGCATAATAGAGTGAGTAATATTGAGGTTAGGCTTCGGTCGAGTGCTAGGTAAGGAGGGAAAACCAATCGACGAGACTGTCAAGTTATATCGATTGAGTGAGATGGTTAGGAGATGTGTTACGCATACCTGCCTAGTCATCCATCGCCCTCCTCGACAACGGGCAATGTTAGCCACTGACATAGGATCCATCACGTTGGAAAAGAGATAGTGGTGGTCAAACCAAAACATGTCTACATCAGTCAATCAAATCCAAAACAGTTAGTTTAAGCCAGCAAGCCAGCCAGCCACGTAGGGAGCTGTATACCTCCTGATTGGTTGGAGTCCTCGGGATGGTAAGAACCAACGGCGACTGGAGACAATTGGTGATACGGATTAAAATCGTTCTCGGTGATGGCTGGCGCAGATGCATTCACTCTTTTTGAATTATAATACCCAATAAAACTCTATCGTTCTTCCGTATTACTATTCATTTCCCCTCACACATCTGTGTATTATCTCTCCTTTGATTCCCTCTTTACTTTCTTCTCTTGGCTTGGGTGCTCTACAGGGAGGGAGAGAGGCAACTCGAACTGCTGCACATCTGTGCAAAGTTCTATGTTGAAACCAGTCAGTTAGTCAGTCAGTTAGGCGAAATAAAAGTGTGGCATTCCTATTATTATTATTATTATTATTATTGCATAATTTGTTCGTTTTACTTCTTACTCAATTGTTCCTCATTAATGACAATTATTCACAAAAATTAGCACATATATATATATATTATAAAAGCAAATAAAGACTGATTATCAATTAGCCGCTATTTTTTTCCATCTCAATACGATAGCTAGAGTGTTAGATGCTAATCAAAATATTTGCATATCTACACGATCAACTGATAAAAATGATCCAGGTTACCCACGTGTTTTGTACTATTCAGTGTTACTAAAGTATATATATATATATATATATTATAATAGGTTTATAAAAATGGACAAACTAGAATTTGGACACAAAAATCAGAATATATATCCGAATAGCCTAATCGTATAAAGGAATCTATGTTACTGGGTCTTGACGACAGACATTATTTCATCTGTATGCTACCCAGTTCAGTACAGTACAGTACAGTACAGGTTCATGCATTACATGATATGAAACATCTTATTGAATGCCGCTGATAACAACACTAACCGACTATGAACTGAACATCTTAGTGAGTTGAATGGACTTCAAACTTTTGATTCACACACACACACACACACACTTAGTGGAACCCAGCTACATCGAAACAAATTTCTCATGCATCAGGGGCTAAGAGCTACACTTATCTTCCAAGGACTGATGCCTGCCTGGTATGAAGTAGGTGAACTCGAACCCAAAACCGGTTGTCTTGATTGGCCGACAGCATACGCGCCAATGAAGGACACCTTCAAGACATTCAGTCACAGTTGAATTATATAACCGTAGCAAAATGATAAAATTTGGTGATATGAAGAATATACCGGCCCATACGGCAGTTGTATATGATGAATTATTACTACAATGGTGATCGCTTAGACGACCACCTTCCAATTAAAAAGACTTGAATAGTATTCACTGAGTGCGTCGGTATAGCACAGCGGTAGAATGCTCACCAACCAGGCAGGTGGTTCGGGGTTCGATCTCCGACTGACGCACTCATTTACCTCGCTAAGCCATCAATGACTGGTAAAGAGGGAAGGTTGGGTATGAAGCTAGCAACCCCATCCCGTAAAAATAAACACCATTGATACAGAAACTTCAAGCCTCTAGCTTGAAGACCTATGTTTCACTGGGAACATAAAGAAATGAAAAGATAAAAAAGTATTCATTGAAACTGGACAATCTGTATGTTGTAAGATAGCCTAACGAATGCACCAACGAAACTGTGCAATCAGATAAGAAATTTTTAATTTGAAAAAATAATAATAATTTAAAACTTATTCATCCTATGCAATAACAGAGAAATGAGCTTACATGAGGTATTAAATGAAGGAAAGCATCTCCAGCAAGTGAGCCAACCGCAAGTGCAATAAGAAATTGAGTTACAACATTGTAGAAACTTCTTGACATCATTGGGACTAAACAGACAACGACTAAACCTGAGGCACTCACCAACAAAACAGCACCGGAGGCAGCTAGAAAAGCTGTAAAACAAAATAGGATAAAGAATTTAATCGACTCGGTCAAAAAAAATCAATATAACTAAAGAAAATAGATTGTGTATCAACAAAATGGTGGGTAAAATTAAAATAAAACTGTCAATTTACTGAGATGTCAAAGGCAATGACGTTTTCCTTGAGGATATTCGTTACTTTCAGTACTGCTGCGTCCTCTTAATTCTCATTCCCATTCAACTGGACTGATAGAATTCAGTCAAGGACTAGACACATTACACTAGTTACTAACAAGCTTTCAATCAAACTGTTCAATACAGTACCCTACGGGCGATCAATCGCGAGTCCGAATAGCACAGTGATAACGTCTCTGACTGCAGCACACTGGGTGACCTAGGTCTGAATCTCAGGAGGGACATGAGTCTCTTCAAGATTGTACATACGCCTTGCTGTGACTCGTGAGTGCCAACTAGCGCGAAAACTAGGTCCGAAGCCTCCTGCCGACTAGCTCCAACCATCTAATATTAACAATTCAAAGTGCACCATGATAGCGATGGTGGCCATATTGCAAACGTGAACGACAGAACAAAGTACTAGACACGTTACACTGGTTACTAACTCGTATCCAATCAAAATAGAATTTAAAAAACCACTAAAGTGAAGGCTCCAAGATGGTTGTATATCAACCAATTGCATCTAGATTACACGTCTTCAAAAAGAACGTATCTGACTGACCTTAGGTGAACGCCATCTACACTCTAAAGCCAATCAATAAGACAACCTGTGTTTGGGCATGGGAGAAATTAATCGATAAGCTATACTTCAAAGAGGGAAAGAGACAACATAATATTAAATATCTCGATTAATCACTTTATTCCTAAGATTGGCTTTATACGGAATCGAATTTTCAGTCTATCAAACCTCTACCTCAACTTTATAGACTTTGAGAAGGCCTTCGACAGCGTTGACCGAGAAGTAATTTGGAAACTACTCGAGTACTACGGCGTACCCCAAATATTCATCAACCTTATCCAACAGCTGTACGACAACGGCACATGTCAAGTGATCCACAACGGAAAACTAAGCGAGGCGTTTGCAGTAAACACAGGAGTCAGACAAGGGTGCTTATTATCACCAATGATATTCCTAATTGTGGTGGACTGGATTATGCGTCAGACAGTGGGAAACGAGAAGACAGGGATATCCTGGACCGACGTGAAGAACCTAGAAGACCTGGATTTCGCAGATGATTTATGTTTGATGTCATACAAAATTGAAGACTTACAAGCGAAAACCGACAAACTGGTCGAAGAAGCAGCAAAGACAGGACTGACTCCAGGTGAACATAGACAAGACGGAGGTTATGAAAATAACCAACCAACAACAACAACAACAACAACAGCAGCAACATCCAGCGCCAATCACCATCAACGGGAGGGATTTGAAAGAGGTTACTTCTTTCATTTATCTAGGGAGCATTGTCTCAACTACAGGCACATGGAACGGACGAGGATGTCAAATCGAGAATCGGGAAGGCGAGAAACACATTCATCAACCTGAAACCAATCTGAAAATCTTCGTCACTCCTCAACATCAACAACAAAATTCGGATTTTCAATACAAACGTCAAGTCAGTCAGTTCTTCTATACGGATCAGAAACGTGGCGGGTCACAAAGAATATTTCCAACAGCCTGTTGCAGACCTTTATCAACAGCTGTCTTCGTTCTATACTGAAGATCAGATGGCCGGAAAGAATCACAAACAAGAAGCTATGGGAAGAAACAAAACAAGAACCAATCGCTCAACAAATATGCAGGAGAAAGTGGAGATGGATTGGACACTCGCTGAGGAGGCCGTTGGGTGACATCGCGCGTCAGGCCAGTGCTCGAGTGGAACCCGAAAGGGAAGCGGCGAGTAGGACGTCCAAGGGTGACATGGAGGAGATCGTGTGAAGAGGAGTTGAAACAGTATGGATTAACATGGATGCAAGTGAAAAGTACAGCCGAAGACAGAAGCAAGTGGAGGCGTGTAGTTGAAGCCCTATGTTCCACTAGGAACCTAAGGGAACAATAATAATATCTAATATTATATATATATACTGCAGCAAGTTTATTTCCTATACAAATAAAATAGTGCGTCAGTGGTTCAGCGGCAAGACGCTCACCAACCACGCCACACGTCGTCCGGGGTTCGGTCCCCAGCGGACGCAATCATAAACCGCTTTAAGCGGGTAATAAAGCCGGTAAATAGGGAAGGTCGGACACCAGGCTAGCATCCGTGTTCCGCAAGAATAAAACCACTGCTATCGAAACTGTAGAGCTCTAGCTTGAAGCCCTATGTTGCACTCGGGAGGCAAAGGAACAAAATAATAATACAAATAGAACCAAAATAGATAACCATAAATACTGAAGTTACTGAAAATGTTAATGTGGGTCATAAAAGTGTAAAAGTGATTGCTGGGAGAAAGTAGCTGTTCACTTACAGATTACATAAATAAGTTTGTCAGCTCTTATTTCACGTTTGTATCTCTATACATGACTCGTGATATATCCTGGATGGAGGGAGTTTTGTATTTAACGCTAAGAGCATAAAGTTCTGATGAAATTACTTCTGGGTTTTCTTGAAGAGATACAAGGAGGAATTTTTGAATAAAATGAGTGCTCAATACTCAGCAAGATAACCTTAGCGAAATGCTTGTACAAACTCAAATGCCTCTCAACAGCAGTTGAACAAATACAAGCAAAGGAAAAGGAGATGAAATGAATACACACTGAGGAAACACGTCATGTCTCAGGTCCTAGAGCGTAGAGCATATATGAAACGAAGAGTTGGGGCATGTGGAGCTGAGGGTAACACATGGAGGAAATTGCATGAGAAGGAGATGAAAGTTTATCGGCAATCATGGAACCAGCTAAAAGGGACTGCGGAGAACATGATCTAGTAGAGATATGCTGTGGAAGATCTATGTTCCACTAAGAACGCAGCGAAAATAATAAGTAATACTAATCAACAGCAGTGACAGATTGATGAGTCGAATGCACATCACTAACCCCCTTACGAGAAAAGATGAACGAGGCGTTATATTTTCACCACACATAACTGTTAGCACACTAAAGCTTATATCTACTTCAAATGAACTCAGCCTACCCACCCACCCACTCCAAACGTACACTTGTTGACTGAATATCATTACCAAAAATATCTACATTGCATCAGACAGACTAAAAGATAGACAATAGTAGAACTTTTCACCAAATTATATCCCTTCAAAGTTGCTACATTTCGAAAAAAACTACACACAAAAGATGTAAATGAGTGAATATATACACTGGCTAGTGTGAACAACTTCCAATCATGCCACCAACTATCTCTATTCGTAGAATCACAATAACTCCTGTAAAAAGACCTGGAAGTAAGTAAATGACTCACACCAGTGATCCCATATCCAGCAGATTTATGTGTGGGTTTCAGCGTCCCTCTAACCAGCATTTCCCAAACCCAAACCCAAACCCAGTTGTTCTACAATGGCTGACAACTGTTTGCCGAGGAAGACAGTGATTCAGTGTAAAGTATACATCTCCCGGCAGCCACAACTAGTGACAAATTATTTTTCTTATTTAACTTCGATATGACTTATTATATAATCCTTGCAAAGTACCATTGAGACATAAATCGTCAGATTTCAATTTTACCAACTATATCTCACAGAAGTAAAGCCTGACGGATAGAATTCAAGTATTGATTGTAGGGATTCGGTTGATTGGTTACAGGATTTCATCATGAGCTGACATTGGTTAGAGAACCATTGGAAAACCTGGGAGTACTGGACAGCTGCTTCGTCCTAGCTCGGGACTTTTCAGCAGTACGCACCCACCACCAGGGTTCGAACCCAGGACTTTCTGGTTACAAGGCGAGCTCGTATACCATTAAGCCACTAGGACCCGATCCAATGGCCCATGAATTCTAACTTCTGCCAATTCACGATATAGCGCAACCGCTAGCCAACGTCTTCGGCGAGTATTTGTCCTCACACCCGACCTGCTGCACCCTACTGGTCACGACTTCCCAGAATAGATAGAATTCAGTCTACACCAATACAAAGGACTAGACACACACATTACACTAGTTACTAGCCAGCTTTTAATTAAAGTAATCAATACAGTACCCTACAGGAGGTCAATCGCGAGTACGAATACCTCAATGGTAACGTTCCTGACTGCAGCATATTGGGTCGATCACGCAGGTTTGAATCTCAGAATGGATACGAGTTCCTTCAAGATTGTATATACGCCTTGCTGTAACTGGTGAGTTCCAACTAGCAAGAAACCTAGGTCCAAAGCTTCCTGCTGACTGCCTCTAACCATCTAATATCGACAAAGCTTTACATTACTGTTAATGTAACAATAATGGACTTAAACAGTAACTGAATTACACACAGGATAAAAGGAAGTAACAGTACAATAATAAATTTATACTATATCTTTAAACTATATATATATATATATATGTAATCATCAGTTGTCTTCGCTCAATACTCAAGATCAGATGGCCGGAAAAGATCAGCAACAGGGATCTCTGGGAGCGAACCAACCAGGAACCGATTGTGAAACAAATATGCAGAAGGAAATGAAGATGGATTGGCCATACTCTGAGAAACCAAGTGACATCACTAGACAATCCTTGAGTGGAATCCAAAAGGGAAGCGGCAAGTTGGCCGTCCGAGGGTGACTTGGAGGAGTCGTGTGAAGAGGAGATGAAACGTGTGGGCAGATATGGAGCCAGGTGAAGACTCTAGCAGAGAACCAACTCAATGGAGACGCACGGCTGAAGCCCTATGTTCCTCTAGGAATTAAAGGATATAATAATAATAATAACAATAATAATATCATCAACTTACCTTTCCAGTCGAATGTGTTTGTGGAATGAGCCGCTTCATCTTCATGCTTGTGTTTGCACACTCCACTATTTAATTCATAAACTATAGTAGGCAGTAATGTCTCAAATTGTTTTTGATTCAAGTGGGATTGATTAACAGAAAAGAAATCAAGCATTTCTTGTGTTGTTAAACACTGTAAATACAGAGGAGAAGAAAGCAGAACAAGAAGAAGAGTTATTACTAATACTAGAACAGACTACAGAGTGGTTAATCAAATATGGGTAAAACGTTTAGTATTTTTTTTAAAAATCAAAAACTCATTATATACACCACCTTTCGATGGATCATATTCAGTGTGAAAGGTTAGATTTGTCGCCCACCATGTTATTGGTTTCGATCCTTCTATATTCTATTTGATATGAGAGATGATTTGACAGCGATTACATCCACAAGGCAGGTAATACCTACAGACTAGTTAATGAGCTAAAACCGGTTTATTTAGCTATCCTCATTTAAACACCAAGTCCATAGAATATAGGTATCAAGAGATGCACTGCCTGGCAGGGATTTTCAATGCTTTAACAAATAATGGCTAATGACTCAAAATTATTCTCAGTGGTACAAATGCATTCACTTTTTTTATAAACGTCCTTTAATAAGGTGAGCAATTAGGAGGTTAGGCTTCGGTCGAGTGCTAGGTAAGGAGGGAAAACCAATCGACGAGACTGTGAAATTACATCGACTGAAATGGTTAGGACATGTGTTACTCATGTCTGCCTAGTCATCCATTGCCTTCCTCGACAACGAGCAATGTAAGCCGCTGACATAGGATCCATCACGTTGGAAAACAGATAGTGGTGAGTGGTAAGTGGTGGTCAAACCAAAACATGCCTACATCAGTCAATCAAATACAAAACAGTTAGTTTAAGCCAGCAAGCCAGCCAACCACATAGGGAGATGTAGACTTCCTGATTGGTTGGAGTCCTCGGGATGGTAAGAGCCAACGGCGACTGGAGACAATTGGTGATACGGATTAAAATCGTTCTCGGTGATGGCTGGCGCAGATGCATTCACTCTTTTTGAATTATAATACCCAATAAAACTCTGTTATTCTTCCGTATTACTATTCCTTTCCCCTCACACCTGTGTATTATCTCTCCTTTGATTCCGTTTTTACTTTCTTCTCTTGGCTTGGGTGCTACAGGGAGGGAGAGGCGACTCGAGCTGCTAAACATCTGTGCAAAGTTCTACGGTGAAACCAGTCATTCAGTTAATCTACCTGCCTTTATAGGATGTTTGGAGTATAGCAAGCAGAAATGTTGTATCTTTGTGGAATGTTCTCTGTCGAAAACTCAATCACTCAGTCAGTCAATAAAAGAACCATCTTAACTTTATGATAAATCTATAAAAAAATGGTGGGATACACGGACAAACGAAGTCAATATCTCCTAAAATAATAGCAAAAATCTTGAACAAACCTAACTCTTAAGAGTTAATTCTACGAAAGTAAACGTGATTAGAAACTATTGAATGACTCAGCACAAACAAACAATTCCCACTTCAATTCTTCAAAACATAATAAGCTTGAATTAGTTATATATACCATACAAACAAACAATCTGAGAAACTCATGATATCCGATACTTTTTCGTTAACGCAGATTAACTACAAGTTGTAGCATATCATGGACACATAACAAAAGCAATTTTGCCTTATAATTAGGTCTAATAAGACTCATATCATATATCATGTCAAAAAGTATCAAACTTTTCGAGCACAAACCTTACTTTTTATGGGTTATTCTCAAAGTTACACTCTGAACAAAGCGTCAAAACAAAGCCATGGTTTGTTACTAACTAACTAAATAATGTGATTGCCACAAGCTGAAAAGTTTTAAAATATCGCAAGACAAGGCTTACTTGATAAAGGTTAACAATACCAACTAAGGAGTATACTGGCTTAACCACTTGACTGTCAATTAATGAGTTCCCAGTTAAAAACTCGCTTTATCTACTTCCGTCAGGGTAGTCGGTTAGTCTTATAAATCCTCAAACATAAACTATTGCTCTTCAACTAGTAAATAAGCTTGTAACAGACGTCCAAGTATAACTAAGAATAACTAGATACCTATACCTAAATAACGAGAACTGGAACTCTGTATAGAGTCAGGGAATGATATTCACTGTGTTCGACAGTTCAGTTACCCACCAAATGTTCTCATACTTTACATTGGTACCTTACTTGACTGGTTTACGGTAATAGACTCTAGTTATACTACTAAAAATCACAGTTATGCACATCCATACCTTAAATATACCCCGATAAGTATATTTCTTTATTTGCTCTTTTTTTCATTCGTTTTATAACATTTTTCGACCTTTCCATTACGTGGTTTTTAATTTTTGTGTTCTTTCCTCTTAATACGCAGATATGTATGTCTTATGGGCCACAAGTAAGGTAAGCACTCAGTGATTAAACATATATTTTAGTAGTCGATAAAAGTATATAATAACCTACTGTGACTTCGTTATAAAACAGAAAAACAATCAAGCCAGCACAAATGACTATGATGTGACCGGTTTAAACATCACCAACTACATCTTAAGTTATGTGAACAATCAGGATTGTTTTTTGTACGGATCATTTAAAAGAAACACACTTATTTTGATAATTCTGGAAGATTACAACAGACACACTTCAAATATTATCTTCCTATATTTGGCATATCAGGAAAATTGAATGTTGTTTCTACCCTCGTAAGTTTTAGGAATTCCTAAGAAACTTCTAAGACAAATAAGGTTGTCTAGACTCATCCCGTCTCTAATAGTTCCTCAGTGTATACCAGCCTATAGGAGAAACTGTCGTTTCGCATGCTACTTAAAAAAAATACGAAAAATGTACAATTGACATTGGATCTGAGGCAGTTAACTGAATGAATGACTGAGTGCAGAAGTGCAGCAATTCAAGTTGCTACACGTCAAATATCACACAAATATGGAAAGAAAAACTCAAATAAAATATAATTAACGAAAATATACAGGAGAAAGAATTACATGGCGAATCATGAAGACTTAATGAATCCTGGACATTACAAAGAGTGAATGTATCTGCACCATTAAGAACGATTTTGAGTCACATCAACCGCTAGTTCTTAGCATCTTGGGAGCTCTAGCCAGCCACATTAACATATCTAGTGTGAACTCTTATTTATCAGAGAAAAAATCTTTGTTATTACTTAGCACTCGAACAGCCAAATAACTGCAACAAAACCAGAAAAAGAAACTAGGGACAGGCATAAACAAGAAATACCAGAAAGCAAAGTGAGAAAAAAGGTAGAATGATGAGAGGTGGATTACAAAGACTTTTTGTTGCGAGAGGAATATGAAGTATGAAAACATGAACCACTGCATGTTTTTAAATTGCAGTTTTCAACTGTTTTACAATCTTAAAACTCATTTCCTACGTTGTTCAAAAAAGACGGACAGTTTTAAACCCCATCCCCTTCTGCATCAGATGATAAAGTCAGTGGTTCACTGTGATTTCAAGCCCATCTTATAACTAATTAATCTTTTTTAAGGACAAGAATTCTAATCACGACACTACTTACTACTACTTGTATAGAAGTGATTTTATGCAGTTATTTCAAGCTTTTGTGGTGTTTCTAGTGATGTCACCTCCTAAATTCCACAATCAGCGTTCGAGAACTGATTCAACTTCAAGCTAGTGCTAAAATACTCCTCTGAGACATTCAAGATAGGAAATCCATTAGAGTCTCCCTACATGAATGCCCTGTACTTCAAGGATGGAAAATGTCCCAAACACTCGCTATTTGTCAGATCGTTCAGTAGGCTCTTCACTTTCTCAGAATTTTCAAGTCGGAATACTGTTTTATTCGCCGTAAACGATAATCAGGGAACGATTTGAGTCGACTTTAAACCCTGTAAATTACAGATAAAAAAGTGTAACCTGCGGGAATGAACCTGGTAAATACTTGGTGCACTCAAACTACGAAGATAGCTCATCGCAAGTTCATACGCCAGACTAGATATGTAGTGGGAAAATGACAGGTGGTAAAAACCACAGCCAGTGGTTTACTAGGACAAGTTACAATTAATAGCATTCAGTTCACTGTTTGGGGAAATGTGGTCCTTGATTTTATTTTGCTTATTCGATTACCTTCAGCATGACAACTATCCTGGAATAACAGAGATTTGTAGCTCAGGTGGGGAATTCAAACAAGCCTGCACTGAAGATATTACCTAGAAGGAGAATGAAAACTTGGTAATTAAATCAACTAGCTTAGAACACAACTAAATCAAAATTAAAACTATCTACCCCCCCCCTTCTTTCTGCAGAGGCTTTACCAGTTATACATTGACTGTCATTACTTTTTCAACAGCTGTTATGCACATATACTATCTGTATCTATTGTTATAGACACTACACACCATGCCACGAACTCCCAACAGATTGACATATGCACACACAGTTACGAAAACGCATATATATTTATACAGCTAAGGTTTTTTAAGCGTCTAACACGGAATTGAATCTGCCAGTCTCTTTATCTGTCGTTTTAAGTCTAATCATCGCACAGGATAAACTTTGGAATACCTATTTGGCCTGATTCTTCTGAAGAAAACTACAAATTCGTTTTTCTACAAAAGCGCAAACCACTAATCTAGTAAAAGGTTAGAACACATATCAAAGGCCCCGTTAATACTTTATTTATAACACTTATGATATCGCAAAGCCCTAGGTAGAGAACACCTACCATCACTTTTCTGTTTAGATGCGTAGATACCTATTCAACTTAAATAAGGTATGAATCGTCATCGATACAATTAAATCTATTACCTAACTTTAATGTATATCGCTGTTTATGAAAGTATTCAAAATGTGCACCACCTCAAAAGTACGTACTAGCAGATAATGAGCCTTTTCTCGAAAAACCACAAATGAAACCGTCTTCCATGATACTGATGATACACAAATGATACAGTAAATGCATATGTCATCGGTATTTTTTAAAAGCCAAAACTGCTTGAGGGAAATTTAAAATTCCAAAATCAGAACGTGCAAGCACTCAACATACTTTAGTGAGAACCGAATAATGGCACGAGTAATTTAGATGTTGGTAAACGATTTCATCAGAATTAGAAAGGCAAATGAATTATAGAAAATGACACAAAAAGAACTAAAAAGTGAATAATTTCCACTTATAATTAGATTTACAGAACACAAGATAAAAATTCATCTTCTCTGGAGGACTATTTGCATGAAAGGAAGTAAGTGGTGGTATTTCTCACAAGTAAATTTTTCAACCCCGAAAAACTGAGTGAAAACACCAAACCACCTTGGACTAGATTACTGAGAAAGTGCGCAGTATCTTACCAACAGGAATCCAACTAATTAGGGTACTTTATTATGGTTATACACAATAAAGTATGGAAATCCAGATGGAATGACTTGAGACTTTAATTTCAGGAGGTCTGCTGGCTGACATTGCAATTTCACGCACCAAACACTTAGTTTAAAGAATCAGCTTAACATCTTTAAATGCGCGACTTAACTTTGACGTCTTAGAAGTGACAGAACCTGTGATACACAAAGGGAAACTAACCAACTACACATATGAAGCAACACAGAATTAAGATAAACACCCACGCTGCAAAACATTGTGTGTTTTATTAAACAACTACTGCGATAATTCCTTACAAGATTTATAAAAATCAGGAAACCACTTACTAACCTTGTTCTCTTTAGACTCATGTTCGTCCGAATGTAATCCAGGGTTAAAAATATGTAAATTTTTGAGCAAACGTGACAAGCCGTCTTTATCCATGTGCTGACTACCATTTGAAAGCGATGAAAACAGAAGTTTTAGATGATCGTTAGGCGAGAAATGAGATATATTACAGTGGACACATGGTACACGAGAACCGACTAAGGTGTATATTGCCAAGCACAAACATATATTTCTGTGAATATGATGACAAAGTCCAACTTTACACATTATTGCTGTACACTGTGGTAAGAACAAACTACAGTTTATCGGTTAGATTTTGTATCCAAAAGTCCTGCTCAGGGGTTGGAACGCATGAACCCGAAAAAATTGTAATTTACGCGCCAAAACCCTGTACCAAATCTAATTGTACTGTTTGTGAGCCGAAAGCACACAACAAAATGCTATTTCAATATCCAATATGCAAAATCCATTAGTCTCACGAGGCTGGATGAGGCATTTTGCCTTGACTAAAACTCCGGTGTTATTCAAAGAGTTATGGGTAAAAACGAATTCCCCCAGATTATTAGTCATGGTACACGCAGATCTTTGTCAGTAACAGCATGCATACACGACAGGGGAAAACCTGTTTCAATAACAGCCATTTGTCTGAAACGGAGAAATCAGTGTTAAAAGTGGTTGGCGAAGAACAATTTCTAGCACTAGCCACCACAATTTTCGGTGGCTATCAGTCGATTCGTACACCAGGCTACTAACAAAAACCGAGAATTTCCACAACATTTTGTTCATTAAATGAGTTCATTTAACGTTTCCTGCAAAAGTAATGCTCACAAACACATAACTTTATTCACACAAATACCAGGCTTGCAGCTTATCGCCTGTCTTTTACTATAATTTTCATTAGTACGCTATAAACAACTAAATGATCAGTCCAACTCTTCAACAGAATTCATGAGAATTTAGTGCTTCTATCCCATCCTGAAGTAACTCATAATTATATTGAAGTGTATGCGTCTCAGAGGTCTAGATTTTAAGCCCAGATGACCCTGTTCTACTAGCTTCCCCATTGTGACTGACCTCTTAGTTGTTATGTTGTATTTGATAGAGCTACGCATTAGGTGGTTGGAGGCAATCGGCAGGAAGCCTTGGACCTAGGTTTCGTGCTAGTTGGCACTCGTCAGCAAGGCGTATCTGCAACCTTGAAGGAACTCATGTCCCTTCTGAGATTCGAACCCGCGTCACCCAGTGCTGCAGTCAGAGACGTTACCACTGAGCTATTCGGGCTCGCGATTGACCTCCTGTAGGACTGTAATGGATATTTTGATTTGACACTAGTAACTAGTGTGATGCGTCTAGTCCTCTCTTTTTTGCAGACTGGATTCTATCAGTCAGGTTCGAATCTCAGAAGGGACATGAGTTCCTTCAAGGTTGCAGATACGCCTTGCTGACGAGTGCCAACTAGCACGAAACCTAGGTCCAAGGCTTCCTGCCGATTGCCTCCAACCACCTAATACCATCACAAACTATGCACACCGTGATGGCGAGCTACCTAGAATGGTGGCTGACTGATAGAATCCAGTCTGCAAAAAAAAAGAGAGGACTAGACGCATCACACTAGTTACTAGTGTCAAATCAAAAAGAGCTACGCACTGTTTCGTATTTCTTGAAGCCTATTAGCATGGCTTTGCACAAATAACAACATCATATTTGAATAACATCTTATTTAGCCACAGCCGGAAGTAAAAAATCTGGATGGTTCCCTGATGGGTGAAAAAATCTTCCGAGCGGCTTAATGGAGAGCCTGCTGGTCTGTCTGCCTATGCTAATAGTGTGTCTGTACATAGCTTCCTCGATGTTGTTCGTTGGATCCCGTGCTTCGTTTGTTTCCTGTCCAGTGCCCGTTGCACCTGAAAAAGGAAAATGTACCAAATAAGCGTTTTTTACCAAAAAACTGACGTGCATCTACTATACAGTAAAATAATGTAAAGTTCAAAATATCGGGAAAAAATATACATCTAATTTAATTTTTTTCCAAGTGCACGTTTAATGTACGGTTATAGGAAAAATATCGTTTACTTGTGTTAAATGATGTGACATAAAAAATTGATGTGTCACTCAGTTATGTGAAATAGGTGTGAAGGTATTCTGGGAATCTAACGTGACGTCCAGAACGCGTTTTCTTAGAGTGATCGACCGAAGTTTCGTTGGCTTTTGCCGTGTTAGGGAGTTCTTCGAAGACTAAAGGAGATTCAATTACTTGTGGATTATAGGGTACGTTTAGCTCTAGGCTAATAGGATTACCTTCCAAGTAAGCCGGTTTCAGACGGTTGATACTGACGGTGTCTTGGCGGCCTTTCTTGTCTAAGACGAAGAATTTATCCGTACGCTTAATTACTTTATATGGTCCGTCATACGGGGGTTCTAGAGGGCGACGCACAGAGTCGCGACGGACAAATACGTGTGAAGAAGTTTTTAAACAGGGGTGGACGAAAACATCAATGGACTGTGGTCGGAGGGGAGCAGGTTTAACTGAACGCATAGCGTTTTTAAGCCTACTGACGTATGAGGTGTGATCTACCGCTGGTGAGAAGCTCGGGGGAGAAACAAACTCACCTGGCAGTCGTAGTGTCGTGCCATATACTAGCTCAGAGGTAGTACAACCAGCATCGGTTTTTAAAGCGTTTCGTATCCCTAGGAGAACTAACGGAAGGGATTCAGTCCAATGGGTGTTATTTGCAGCCGATAAACCAGCTTTCAACTGTCTGTGTAGACGTTCTACCATACCATTAGCTTGAGGATGGTAGACTGTTGTTCGAAAACGCATGCAACCAAGAATTTTAGCTAAAGCGAAGAATAAACCGCTTTCGAATTGCCGCCCACGATCAGTTGTTATGGAAGATGGGCATCCAAAGTTTGCGATCCATCTCTCTACAAAGACGCGTGCGACAGTTTCAGCAGATATATCCTTGAGGGGTACTGCTTCAGGCCATCGTGTGAAGCGATCGATGCAGGTTAACATATAGGTATATCCATGAGATTCTGGAAGGGGGCCAACTAAATCTATATGGATGTGTTCGAAACGGGCATCGGAGATAAGAAAGGTGCCAAGGGGTCTTTTGGTGTGTCTTATTATCTTGCACTTTTGGCAAGCTAAGCACGTCTGTGCCCATTCTCTTACTTCCTTATTAATACCAGGCCAACAAAACCGACTAGTTACGAGTTTGACGGTAGTTCAAACACCTGGGTGTGATAAGCCGTGCAACGTTATCCAGAGCATCTATATTCTCAAAAATCGACTTGGTTAGAGCGTATAACCAAATCCCGATGGCAACGGAAGATTTTTTCACCCATCAGGGAACCATCGAGAATTTTTTACTTCCGGCTGGTCATGTCTTAGGGTCCTCACAAACTCACTAGGGGGTAGTGAGCTGTGGCGGTAAATAATTCCCCAAAATTATTAACCACAGCAATCATCACTCAACATTGGATGCTGACCCTCACTCTTTAAGTCGACTTGTTTAGCTGAAGGCTTCCGGTCAAGCATCCCGGGCATTTGGTATTCCGTCGTGTCACGTGCGTGCACGATTACTAGCTAGCTAAGCATTCACCTCCACCCGCGATTTTGTCCCGAAATATACTACGTACTTTGGACGACAAAATCTGGTCTTTTGCTTTATCTTTGGTACTCGAAGAACGAACGCTATAGAAGTTGTCGGTATAAGATCTTGCGTTAGTATAATCCGTACAACTCGCGAACGTCGATACCTGCAACCTGTAAAGTATAAACAACTACTTGTTTAGTCCATCTCTTCAACAGAATTCATGAGAATTTAGTGCTTTTATCCCATCCTGAAGTAACTCATAATTATATTGAAGTGTATGCGTCTCAGAGGTCTAGATTTTCACTAGATTTTAAGCCCAGATGACCCTGTTCTACTAGCTTCCCCATTGTGACTGACCTCTTAGTTGTTATGTTGTATTTGATAGAGCTACGCATTGTTTCGTATTTCTTGAAGCCTATTAGCATGGCTTTGCAGAAATAACAACATCCTATTTGAATAACATCTTATTTAGCCACAGCTAGTGTACAGTCGCAGGCCAGAATATTACACTAAACCATGTGTATTTCGGCTATGCATTTTCTTTTGATTTGTTGTTATTCCTCCGTTATATACCTCACGAATGTTGCCTTTTATGGATAACCTTCGTTCCAACAATTTTTTAATTTATTTCTCATCTTCAGACCATACGGTTTTTAGTAAGCCTACATCATCATCCTGCCTGAATGAATTTACCGTTGCAATTTATATCTGATCACTGTGTAACGAATGAATCTGTCACTTGGATTCGCTCACATGTAGGGAGTCTAAAGAAGTCTCGTTATGTGCTCCGGACCTTCAAGATGACTTTACTACTAGACAATAAAACTTCTGCTGTTACAACAAGGACTCCAGTTAAAATAACAGATGACTGGTTTTTGACGAAGTGATGCAGTCAACTCCAAAAACATTTTGTGAAGCGAATTTATTTGATGTCTTATCTAACCTGTTAAAATGACGTGCATTACTTGCAGTCATTCCATGTACATGAGAATACACACTGCTTCTCAGAAATCAAGGCCTTTGGTACCATTTTTTTCAGCCAACTGATTTTTTGCTGCATTCATGACTTTCTGTGATACCAGAAGTGTGTGTTAAAATGTTTTGATGTGGTAGCACCGCCCGGGTGTTTTTTAACTTGCACGGTAGCATAAACTGCCTCTTTTGATAACCAAAAGTTATCCAGCTTTGCGCTCATCGCATCAGTTAAAGGACGCACTTAATTTGAGCAACCAGGCATAAAACGGCAGTGAGAATTAATCAACCCAAGAGAGCTTTTGCGTGAAGCGGGGGAGTCAGGCAGCGACTTCTGCTCAATGGTGACCACCTGTTTCTTCCTTGATTGTTTCTTGACTGTTGTTGATGATCCCCGAGAACTCGGTTGTCTCTGTTCCAAGTTCGCCCTTAGATTAACACTTACACCCTTGTGCTGGTAGCCAGTATTTTCCGGAATGTGTTGAATGATACTGCCAGAAATTGAACTAGATCTGGTTAGTAGAAATCAGTCTATTTGAATTCGTATACCTGAACGTTTCAATCACTGTCAGTTATCTTATTTGTGTGCTACTTCGCGATTCATAACTTTCATATAGGTTTATGACTAGAATTAATAGTGTAAAGCCAGTGCTAGTGAACCCTATGGTCTCCACTCCCGTTTTGTTGGCAGCTGCTGCTATTGTTCGGACCTTCTTTTCAATATAATTGTTTTCGTGCCTCCTTTGTGAACCCAGAAGTCTACTCTGGGCAGCTCATCTCGTATACAAATAAGTGACTCCTCACACAATCCTTCTCATTAGTCTCTACCTTCATTACGGGTCGATCGC